AACAAGCAGATTCTTGATGAGAAAAAGAATTGCAAAAATTTTAGGTAGATACTTCATATGCCCAGCGATGTAGGAATTTTTGATCCCTTACCGATTAATACATATGCGGAAAAACTATAAATTCTCAAATCTCTTTCTTTTTCGGCCAGAGCGCAACTATTTTAGCCCGCTAAGCTTTTTTAATAGGCTCAGTATATTTTATCGATTTATAAAGAATAATATGATCTTCTGAACGGGAATCAGCCACCTAAACTGAATATCACCCAATTTTATATTTATGTAAGATTGCGCGCTGGTTTCCGATATACATTATGTTTATTTGCGGAGAGCTGTAAACCATAATAGAAATAATTTCGGGAAATGCTGCCGAATTAACTCCCTTCGAGGTTGACTCGGTTCTCAAAGGAACTCGGTTGTTCTTCCTTAGTTGCGATTGCATTTTCGAAAAAGTAAATACCTTCTATTACCCAAATAAATTTTCGACCTTTCTACTCAACTATTGACCCTAGCAAAAACGGATCAAAAGTCCTACAGTTTTTCTTCTTCGTCGTTTTTTCGGCAATCACTGATAGACGATTTTGTGTCTCTTCCGCTTAAAATGCCACAATATGATCCAGATAAAAGTCAGTCTTTTCAAGAGTATAATTGAACTTGCCATGAAAAATGTACTTGTTTTTTTACTATGAGAATAATATCGAACCATTCTAAATAAAACTCATATGTTAAAATCGATACTATCAAAAGTAAGTATAGTTCGATAATGCTAATATAATGGCTTTCTACATGTCTTAAGCCAGAACTTTGCCTTGGAGGCTACACAACCCGCGTGCAAATCCTATTTATCAGACTGAAGACTTGAATATGCTGAGGCTGATTATCCATTACACATATCAAGCCACTGTTTTGTATCAGGTATATATTTTGTAAAGGTATAGAACTTTAACTTGGCATTGCTGTTCAAGATGGCGACCGATTTAACAGCTGTCAAGTGATTTATTCTCAGTTTGGTTTGGCAATTCATCATGAATTTAGCGATGAAGCGCACTTCTGGTTGAATGGCTACGTCAACAAACAAAACTGCCGCATTTGGAGTGAAGCTAATCCTCAAGTGTAGGTCGAAACACCGTTACTGCTTTCTGTGGGGTTATGTAAAGTCATTGGTCTATGCGCATAAGCCCCAAACGCTTAACCATTTGGAAGACAACATTCGCCGTATTATTGCCGATATACGGCCACAAATTCGCTCAATACGTTTTGGGTACATCTCGAAAATCCATACTTCTCATAACCACTTCAAAACGTTTATATAACACATTTGAAAACAGATTTCATTCATGATTTTTCATGCCATTTTATTCCATCGAGATGAGAATTATTCAGAGGTTACTTAAATTTTCAAGTGTAAGCACGAATTTTTATACTTTTTTGTACAAAAACGAAACTTTTAGAATATTGTAAACTTGAATTACCGGCTATATTGGATACAAATACATACATTTATGTTTCCATAAGTTTTTTTTACACAAATATATCCCTTTTCAAACCAGTCTAAATTATGTTGATGCTACTGTTGCCCTTAACATTGCTGATTTATAAATATTTCCGTAAATTTTCCAAGATAACAGTTTAAGTTTCCTAATAAATCCGAAGGTTCTGACAGCCAACGAGACAAAAGCGTATGGTAAATAGCAACAAAGGAAGCACAAAAGTTGGGATACAACTACCATAGAGAGTATAAGAGGCCAACTGGCTTCAACTCAGCTAAGCGGGAACAAAGCACACCCATGTTATACGATTGCATATATGTATGTACATGTCTAAATCAGCATTAAAGGGATATGAAAAGTGTGGAGACAGTTCGCTACTTTTGTCCTCTCTCTATACTTGTTTTTTGGTTCCAATCTACGGTCTATTTTTTGCGCCTTTATTTGGCCCAGCTTGTAGATGAGCACATTATGTTTAACACGCATCCACTCGCTCGTTTCGCTATATAAACAATCGTACATCCTTAGCTGCTTATTTATTAAATTAAGTAATTACATTAGTGGCGTCCATAAATTTTCTTGCGCCCCCGACATAGCTTGGTAACGCTGACTACCAGCTTGCAGAGACTTTCGATTTTCGAAATGTTAACTCGGCAATTTTGTGCTCACGCGCTGACAGTTGCCCACTTCCTGATCCAACAACTCAAACGAATATATGCGTGTTTATAAATGTAAAAGTGCGTGTGTTTGTGCATGGCGCTACGCGAAAGTTTGCATTTGCGTTTGCCTTTTTGCCCGCAGCCTTTTCATAATGCTTGGTAGTTGTTTTTAGTACAAATAAAACTCCCACTGTCTACTATTTTCTTTAGTAATGTGTCTTTTTTTAATTTTTTCCATAAAACTCGCAGCTTGTTGTTGCTCTCTCTGATGTGTTTGTCTACTTTTTATTGCCTTCATTCATACTTTTTATTGTTCAACGGCCACCAGTCGCGTTTTAATGCCATTTTTTGCATTTGCTGTGATGGTTTTTTTCCATTTCAGACTTTGTGCAAAATATTTATTATTTATTATATTTGCTCGCACTTAATAAAATTTCGGTGAAAGCTCAATAAGCAACAGTTAAAAAGAAGAAAAACAAACCAATCAGTTGTAAAAAAATCTATAAAAAATATTTCTGCAAATATTTGTAGGGAAAAAATCAAAATAAATGTATAACCGAGTTATATTCAATCGCACTGCCGACTATGTGTCTGTCCTGTTGGCTGTTTACGTGGCAGCTTTGGTAGTCTGCGTAAATATGCACGATTTATTGTTATTGTTTTTATTTTCTTAATTTACGTGCGTATTGCCGAAAATCTCAACGGGGGGTGGTGCGCAGCGTGGCCTACGGCGGAGTATTAAATTTTATTTTTGAAAATTTATGAAATTTTCGAGTTCAAAAATACACTAGATATTGATTCTCCAAAACGGTAGTGAAGTTATGCAAGCAATATTTGCAAAAGTTGCATACTTCATTACATTTCATATAAAAGTTTCATTTCATATATAAATTTAGAAAAAAAAAACATTCTACTTCGACTACATTTTTAATCTCTCATTCTATTATATAATGTTTTTATTTGATTGAAATTTAATAAAATTTCCATAACTCTATCAAGCTATTATAGTGTTTGTTATAAAAACTTTACTTCAAATCAGCTTTGTTTTCCGTTAGATGGATCCTAAAGACCACATTCTCGAGCCTATAGCTTATGTCTCTCTTGATTTCGCTAAGACGACTAACGGACTCAGCATTTAGCGTAATCAGCGTTGCGCATGAGTTAAGCGATTCCGCTAACGGTTGACGCAGCTCCCATTCGAGGTCTTTTACCAAAAGAGGCTTACACCTCACCCGATCTTTGTAACTTGACCGTTGCTTTTGTTGCGTCTGATCTAGCACTGTCATTTACTGGTGCTAGCGATTCCGCAGACTGTGGTATGGCGGCATCATTGGGCCTTATTATTTTTTTTTTTAAATTAAGCAGGAGGCAATTTGATAAAATCGAAACAATGCGCCGCCTTATGTTTCATATCTAAGCAAGAACACATTGCGTGGAAAGTTTGACGACGCGTAGATTTCAAGAAATTGCTCAGACAAACATTTTCTTTGGTGGTGTGTTAAATCAAAAGTTAACGCTAATCAACCAGCAACGCTCAAGGAGCCCGAAGGCTAAAAAAGCCCAAAGGCTGCACCGGGTCATCGAAAATTGGCGTAAATGGATGGAGATATGCAAACGGAGCCGTAGTGATCATTTGGCTGACATTTTGTTCGAATCATAAATAGCATACAATTTTCTGCATAAGCCATTTTGACCCAAAAACGGTGATTTATCAACTAATACATATTTTAAGAATACACAGTAAAGTGTTTGAAGAAAAAAATAAATAATATTCGAGTTTCATGCAATCACCGACGGGGCTAAAACTACGCGGCCTCCACTGCTTCAGTAAGTTATTGTTTGGAGAACTATGAACAAAACCTGCAGAAAAAATTGTATAGTGATTAGTAAAGAAGTAAAGATAAACTGACTAAGTGATTGAAATGAGCGTTTACTCCTTAAATTGTTGTAACTCGAAAAATATTTGAGCTATCGATTTATAAATTTGGTATGTTGTTTTTAAAGGAATGTCCTATGGAAATATGTAAACATATCACTGCTAAACTATATTTAGATTCTAAAGGTGTAAATTACTTAAAAATATTTTAAATATATTACCATACACTAAATGCTAACCTTCAAAATATTGTTAATTATTGAAGTAGAATCAATGTTTCATGAATTCCTTATGCTTATCTAATACATAAAACAATGCTTATCCTTTACGATATATACATATGTACATACATACATAAATTCCTTATTTGATACATAACCACTGTATGTATAGAACTTATTTCAAAATTATTTAGATTACAAATAAAACTAATAATATAATTAATTAAATACATTCATATGTAGCAAAGCGGAGTATTATTAATATTTATGACATCACAAACCAGAAGCACCAGTACTACATTTGCATTACTCATACGCACAGTCACACCTTCATAGTATTGTAGAAACACCCGCATCTTAGTAGTAAGGATCTTGAGAGCATATTTCATTGAAAAGAAAATAATGTTTATACCAAAAACTATCATTAAGAACACATATCAGTAGATATTTTTTTAAATTTAACACAATTTAAAGACATTTTTAAACAACAAATTCACCTAATCTCACAAAACTCGTGTGCCATGGCGCACAAAATCACATAATCAAATCTTAGAAACAAAGAAGCAAACATAATTGCCAAAAATTAACTTTTCATGCTAAAAACATTAAAAAAAACTACATATTACTCACCAAGTAGAAATCAAACACTGAGAGCATGCTTTTTAAAAACACAAATCACTCATTGCTTTTTTCTACAAACTACAACAAATTTCTTACTGCCAATAATAATCCTGGAATTTTTCCACTACTCGATTTCCAGGGCGCAATAGTCGGCGAAATGAGCACGGAATTATGAGAATTAGCCAAATTCAATAGACGTCAATAGCCGTATGTAAAGCAGCAAACAACAACGCCAACAACACGCGCTGGCAAACTAACTACAATAGAGGGAGCACTAGCGCTCGTCGAACAACAGCAGCGGCAGCTAAGTGAGGATTTTCCACAACAACAACAATGCCAAGAATATCACGAAATGAGCGAGCAACAAATACAGCCGCTGGCGCCGCCGCCAAGCGCATTTTGCAAACACTGGCTACAACAACAGCAGCTGCAGCATCAAAAACAACAAAAAAATATGCAACAAGAACAATAGTAACGCGTGTAGCAAAAATACAAGCGCGCTTAGCGGCCGCAACAGCAACGAGAACATCCACAGTGGCAACAGTTGCATGCAACAAGCACTGCTCTACACAGTTTCTGCTAAAATATTAACTAGCCCAGCAACAAGCATGAAGCAAAAGGCAGAACATGAGTGCAGCGGCAGCAGCTGAAGGGAAAAAGTTAGCAAAAAGCGTGTATTTGCAGCCAGTGCAGTTGAATAGTTTCGTTGCGGCACCCACATGGTTGCGGTTGTGGTAAAAATATATATGTAAATATGTAGATGTGTATGTGTGTGTGTGTGTGGAACTTGCAACAGAGAACCGGTAACTGGTAAAATAAGTGCTAGAATTTTTTCCAAAATAAAACACACAAAAAGAATAAACGATTTGAAATAAAATGTTGCAAGCAGCCGCAACAACAACAATATAAACAAAAATAATAAAAAGAACAACAATAACACAACAACATTGTTAGCAAGCTGTAAGCGATACAAGCTTACAGTAAGTACGCACACATCATTGGCATGCGTTCAGTGTTTGTGTAGTGTAGCATAGTTTCAGGCACACTATTTCAAAAGTTGCAAAGCTACTTATATTTCGTCAAGTAAATTGGCAGCAAAGCGAAGCAACAGCAAAATAAATGTTGTATAGTTGTATCTTGTTGCATAAATGCAGAAATAGTCTAAAATTTGTTTTCATTTTGTTGCGAAAAAACTGAAATATTTGAAGAAAACTTTACTAAAGCGGAGTATTCAGAGCTGTTTAAATCCAGTTTATTCATAAACCTTTTTACAAGTAGCACATAGTTGCCGAAAATTTAACAAATCAAAATATTTAAACGAAACTCTCAACAAATAAGCATTGCACATAGAAAAAGTTTCATATTTCTCAGCAAATATTTATATATTAACTTACTTTAGCATTACTTTTAACAGCTGATGCCCAAGGAGGCCCCTCGTTAAATATGCTGCCATTTCAAGAGAACTAATACCCAATTTAATGTCGCTGCGCGTCAGGGCGTGACAACGACCTCCATTAAATACAAAGGAAATTGATTTTAATGCAATTGCTGATGTGAGGCGATTAAACATTTATAGCACGCTTCTATCTCTTCGACTTAGCAGCTGCTTTATACGCAATTGTAGAGTGGACTTTTATGTTTCAATCGTAAAAGAATTAAGTGCTGTTAAGCAGATATTTTTATTATGAGATCTTGCACAAGTAAAGGATAAAGCTTCAGAGTATAAAAATATTTACAGAATTACAAACTTGGCACTGAAAAAGAACGAAAATAAAAATTTTTGAGTCTTCAATAAATTTTCGAGATTTGTATATCATATGTTTGGGAACCCGAATTGTTTTTACGGATCCATGAACTGTTATTTAGAGAAGTATTATTTTGTTGCTGACATCGTACACAATAAAGAGTTCTTACAATAGGAAAACTTGTCTTCAATAAATTACGTGGAACTGGGGTTTGTATGTTCGGGATCCTGAAATGTTTCGAATTGGTATTAGTTGTTTCCTATAATCGCATAAAAATATATTTTTTGGGAATTTGTAAATTGTAAATTTTCGAAGTTACTACAGCCGATCCTTAAATAAATGCAAGGATATATAACGGGAATATACAGTTGTAATCTTTTTTTTTTTTTAAGCAATATTTAAAACACTTCATCGCAGCCACATTCGCAACAATAAATTCCATTTAAATGATTCTTAAAAATGAAAATTTTTAAAAACTTCAAACCAAAAGCAAAAGTTCGTTCCAGAATACGCGATCAGACCCATTCCAGTATTTTCTTTTTTATTGACCTAAGCTCATTATCTTATTAAATTTATTTACCTAATGTGCTTATCGTCTGCACTAAAAACACAGTTCTTCTATGTACAAATAAGGAAAGAGAAAAACGCAGATATTCAAATTGCGCCAAAGGTCTTCTGCATATTATACGAAAATCAAAAAAAAACAGAGCTTTTATTTATTTTTAATTTTTCTAAAGTGAACTAGTTAAAGCGAAACTACTTATGGTCTACTGCTGCGCTCTTAACAATACACGAAAATAAAAGCAAAAGCGAAAAACTTTTCAAATGGAACTAGTTATAATTAGGCCAGTTGCAGGCCAGGAAAAACAAAGCAAACGTAAAAATTTTTCCAAAGCCAACTACTTGTGGAGCAGTTACTGACTAGTTGCGTACTTTTTACCACCCATCTTCCAACTGCGCAGCTACAACTAAGCATTTCATAATAAGCTAAAGAAACGGAAAAACACAAACAACCCTGTATGCATAAGACACTAATTGCTATATGTAAAAAGTATCTAAAATAAGTCTCTGTGCAAATAATTGTTCTCAAAAGTAATATAATATATAATAACTGCCAACCACACTCGACTACAAATTGTTGCTTCTGACATTTACAAGCAAAATAAATCGCTATTGCATTTGAGAAACAAGCTTCCTATATTCATTTTAGCGACAAATCTAATAAATATGAGCGTTGTTTTGTTACTTCAAAAGGATTAAATGTGAAAAAGAATGCATAAAATAATCAAAAGAAAAATCAATACTATTGAAAAAGTATTTAAGGAAAAAATTTCAATTAAATGTTGCAAGGATATGTGTATATTTAGACTTAAAAGAAACTTACCAATACCATGTAGCACTGCCATCAAAACTTTTATATAAGCAAATCAAGTATATATGTAATGCTAATGAATAATAATGATTATTTTTTAATTAAACTACAACAGTAATCAAATTGTCTAAACTTATGTTTTAGCATAAAAATCGATAAATCAAACTCGTAAGCATATTTTAATCTCTTATGTTAAGTCGTAAATAATGAATTTGTCATAATTAATTACATAAGTAATTGAAAAACTAATCAAAATAATAAGCAACTAATTTATTAATCAAACGGTGTGTACTCTCACTACTTACTAATTACACATAAAAAAAATCTAAATAATTGAGCAATTATTCAATTAAACTCTACTAAATGTCACAATATGTCATAGTGTTAGTAAAAATAAATGTAGAAAACCGAAAATCGAGCAATTAAAATTTTAAATTTATGTGTACACGAGCGAATGAAACTATACTAAGCGCGTACTTGCGTCAACATAATGCGCCATTCACACTGATCAATTTTAAAACTCACATATAGCAGAAGGCCATTAAGCCCACACCCATGCATAGAAAATGATATGGTGAATTTAGTTTATGTATTGAAACGACACACGCTAATTATATACTCAACTTATACTAAGGAATGCATACTTAAACACTTTGATAATTAGTTGTAAGCAGTTACTAAAAATTGTACTCGTATATGTGTAAGTGAATATAAATTAGTGGGCATATATATGTACATGTGTGTGCTATATTTATATATGTGAATGCATATGTAACTATGTTTAAGTCAACAATATAATACCAAGTATGTATTTTTTACTGTTTAGTGTTTTATGAATGTAACTTTTACTTGAACACGATAAACGAGTTTGAATAAACGTCTTTTATACAAATAATATTGGGTTTAGTTTTTCTACTTTTAAAAGAAAATCGCTCAAAGTTAATATGAAAATGATTTTTTTATATTACTGAAAGTAATATTAAGTAATTGGCCATAAAACGATTTAACGCCCAACTCGCCTTTTCACTTAACATCCGATCAAAGAAGTTCAATGTTAAATGATTCTGCTTTCTAGTACAGTAAAGGTTAGTCGTTTAGGTCAGGTAAGTTTCTATGGCTGATGGCTAAGATGATGATCACACCTAGACTCTTATATTCAGTAATTTAAAACAATTAACGTTCGTATCTTATATATACAAAGCGCCTTGAACACATTGCATGATCGATATACTTGATCCAAAGTGCTATAACTTTTCCAACTGAAATAAGTTTACTTATATGCTCTGAAGTTAAAGGTATGCCTCCACGACAACATTAACCTCTTGAAATTTCTACCCGGATAGACTTTTTCAGTATAAACAAAAGAATAGTATGGAGCTAAGTCTGTGAAATACGTAGATGGGGAGAATTCGTTAATTACCATTTGACGTGGCGCCGGAGCAGCTACGGTTTTGTCATGGAAACCATAAACCCAGAAACCAATCTCCGACCGATTATCCTTGACTTATTTGAATACTGACGAACGAACATCCAGAGGAAACGTAAGACCTATAAAATATGTACATAACCCATAAATAATATGTACAGCATGATCGATTTGTATGTCCGTCTGTCCGTCTTTCTGTATTTTCGCGAACTAGTCTATCGCCCTGAAATTTTGCACACGTCCTTTCTCCCAAGAAGTGCTATTTATGTGAATAGCCGATATCTGACCATTTATATATAGCGCATACAAACTATACGATCGGAAATAAGTGCTTGCATGGAAAACTTTTTATTTGACAAGATATCTTCTAAAATTTGGCATTGATTATTATCTAGGTAATAATGCAATCTCCGAAGAAACTATTCATATCGGGTCAGTATAATATATCGCTGCTATACCTGTAACGACCAAAACGAGACTTTATCCACTAACTCGACAGCGACATGACATATGGCCATACTTTGTTTGCTGTAGTGTGGCATGACTGTTATAATTCATAATGTCAATTTGAGCGCGATCTGGCCATAGTTTTTCTTTAGGCACATAAACCAGTCAACCTCGAGTGTGTGTTGTCGAATTTTATCTATGAAATTAACGTGAGCAAAATGTTTGTTTGAATTCGTTTATATCTCCATGAATAAGTGCGGACGGACGCAATGAAAATGTTGCAAAGGCATATATGGGGAATCTTGTTCACGCACGTTATTTTGATTGGTATAATCGTTTGCAGACGCTCGTACCATCGCTGGACGACACTTGGCCCTCATGACGTCGTCCAGCAACATCAATAAACGAGAAACGTCGAAAAAGTAAAGAAAATTTGTGTTGAAATCGCCGGTGACTGAGAGAGATAGTCTAGTGAGCCTCACCATATCAAATGGATCGCTCATAGGCGTTATTCACGATGTTTTGGCATGAGACATTGTTGCTCGACCTTGTTCCACAATCCAGCTCATACGTCTCGTCTTGTACGCGATTATTTGACCAAAAACAACGTAAATATTGTTCCGCAAGCACCGTATTCACTCGACATGGCACCGTGTGACTTTTTTCTTTTCCCTAAACTCAAATTGCCGCTTCGTGGAAAGCATTTTCAGTCGATTGAAGTCATAAAAGAGAATTCGAAGAAGGAACTGAAAGCCATACCTAAAGCGGCCTACCAGAAGTGTTAGGAAGATTGGAAAAAAAGGTGGCATATGTGTATCGCCTCTAATGGTGACTATTTTGAAGGGGATAAAATAAATATTGAAGAATAATTAACCGTTTTTGTTGTTTGAGCCAGTCTCGTTTATATTTGAGCAGAAGGTACAAACTGAACGATCCGAAACAAGTTCTTATAAAGAATCATTTGTATTTGTGAAGGCTATTATAGCTTCGGTGCAAGCAATGTTAACGTTTTTTCTTGTTCTATAAGCAGCGAATACCCCTCCATTTTACAAGTGAACAAACGAATGATAATAAGAGCTCGCATTATGGAAAGGTTGATAAAGTTCCTAAAGAATTTTACAATACCTCAATGTTTATGTTGTCAGCTCCAGTCATACTTGTGGGCTTTTATATACAAGACTTGTTGCCAATTTCTGCTCACATACATATTATTTATGGTAGTATTACTCAGAGCCAATCAATATATGGTACTTCCAATTGAAAAATGATGGCAGAGTTTGGTAAATCGTACAAAGATAAACCACCACTAAGTGGGGAGTCGGTGTATATTAAGGTAATGCTACCTTACTAATTTGTCTAGCCTAAGGTCCATTCGAAAAACACAACTTCATAAAATATAAAACTAAGACAATATAAGTTCCAGTTGCTTACTATAGAATATTTCTTATAATTCGAGTATGAACCGGCAGCGGTTTTTCTATTAAGAATATCAATATGGTTTACTATATAAATATTAAATAAATATGTTCCTGTAGATATTGAAGAAATATTAATATACAAAAAATACTTTTCGCAAATATTCCTCAAGAAAATCCCGCCATCTGCCATTAAAAGTAAATATCTGTACATATAAT